AAGAAGCCTCCAAAGGAGTAAATGAACTAGGTTCCAATTTCCCAGTTTGCCCAGTTTCATATCAAAATAGATTAATGTTGGGGGTGATCCATCACTCCAAGGCAACTCAGTTGTCAAGTTGGTCACCACTAGTAAGTAAGGGTTATATTTCTCTGTTTGTTGTATGAGCCTGTTAGCCACTTTACAGACTTCTCATCTTCTATTTCCAATTGAGCCTCATAGTGGGGGGAAACACACTCTCCGCCTGTTTGAGGTTTGCAAAGATCTTTAGAGTTATGCAAACAATCGGAGGGCGAAATGATCCACCACCAACATTTGACTTTCTAAATGTGAGAGTTAATGGGGTGTGCATGACGGAAGCCACAACCCAGCAGAGAGAGAAAACCCAAGAGGACGACCGACCAACCAAACAACACTTCAGAGGGGGAAAGGGACCCCCTCCTTCCCTCCTCCTACTCCCACTCTGTTGTTGCTGCTAAGTTAAGAGCAAAATGATATTCCACTCCATGAAATGCATTTGCCGAGTTGTCAATTGGTTCCAGAATAGGTTACGATTCCCAACATGCATGCAAATACTCATAAATGCAAGCAAATATTTGGGAAAATGGTAAATTCTCTTGAGTCGGCTTGAGGAAAGGGCTGGTCATCCAGGGTGGACTTTTTTTTTTTGCAAATTTGTATGACAAGCTTCCTCCAAATCACCCCATAAAGAAAATCATAGTGACATATAGTGGTTGGGCTTTCGTTGACCTCTGCAAATGCCCAGACCCCCAAAAGTAAACAAGAAAGCTAAAATCAAATGGAAGTATTTATCATTGCCCTTATTTTTAGGTCTAGGACAGCATTTCACAACCTGGGGTTTGGGACCCCTGGGGGGTTATGAGGGGGTGTCAGAGGGGTCGCCAAAGTATTGTCTGGTGGTCCTGGGGGTTCTGTGTTGGAAGTTTGGCCCAATTGTATCATTGGTGGGGTTCAGAATGCTCTTTAACTGTAGGTGAACCATAAATCCCAGCAACTACAAACCCAAAATGACAAGGTCTATTTTCCCCAAACTCACATTTGGGCATATTGAGTATCCATGCCAAGTTTGGTCCAGATCCATCATTGTTTGAGTCCACAGTGCTCTCTGGATGTGGGTGAACTACAACTCCAAATATCAAGGTCAATGCCACCAAATCTTTCTAGTATTTTCTGTCAGTCCTGGCAGTTCTGTGTGCCAGGTTTGGTTCAATTCCATCGTTGGCGGAGTTCAGAATGCTCTTTGATTGCAGACGAATTATAAATCCCAGTAACTACAAGTCCCAAATGACAAAATCAACCCCCCCCCCACCCCTCACCCCACCAGTATTCAAATTTGGGTGTATTGGGTATTTGTGTTTTCTGTCAGTCATGGCAGTTCTGTGTGCCAAGTTTGGTTCAATTCCATCGTTGGTGGAGTTCAGAATGCTCTTTGATTGTAGGTGAACTATAAATCCCAGCAACTACAACTCCCAGGTGTCAAGGTCTATTTTCTCCAGACTCCACATTTGGGCATATTGAGTATTCGTGCCAAGTTTGGTCCAGTTCCATCATTGTTTGAGTCCACAGTGCTCTCTGGATGTAGGTAAACTACAACTTCCAAACTCAAGGTCAAGGCCCACCAAATCCTTCCAGTATTTTCTGTTGGTCATGGGAGTTCTGTGCCAAGCTGGTGGAGTTCAGAATGCTCTTTGATTGTAGGTGAACTATAAATCCCAGAAACAACAACTCCCAAATGACAAAATCAATCTCCCCCAACCCCACCAGTATTCAAATTTGGGCATATCAGGTATTTGTGCCAAATTTGGTCCAGTGAATGAAAATACATCCTGCATATCAAATATTTACATTACAATTCATAACAGTACTTACAGTTATGAAGTAGCAACGGACATAATTTTATGGTTGGGGTCACCCCAACATTAGGAACTGTATTAAGGGGTCACAGCATTAGGAAGGTTGAGAAACACAGGTCTAGATTACCCACCAGTCAACACAAGGGATGGCTATATGGCTAACTTCCATCCATTTGACCAACCTGTGGTGTCCTCATAAACAAGCACTCTCCAACGCGATGGGTAGAATCAGAAATGAGTACACCTCGCCCAACCCCCCCTACCCCCCACCCCCCGAGCACTCTGTTCCATCTTCGAAAAGAAATCTTTCAATATCTTTGGACCTACCTGTGGTCTTTATGGATGGCTGCTCGCCAAGCAACAGTTTTAATCTTTTGGCGTGGATTTTCCCTTGATAGTGTGACTCAGCCACGACGGCCGAAGTGAAAGACATATTGCAGAGCGTACAGCATTTGTTCTTATCCACCGGGTCGTCTTCATTTCCCTGAGGGATGAGAAGGAAGAGGCAGGAAAGTTAGGGCAGAGACAAGTCCGAGATGAGTTGAATTAGATTTTCAGGCCAGGCGTGAAGGGATTCCAGAGCCATTCAGTCGGGATTCCATTCAGTAGAAGGCTGAGCTAACTCCACTGTCGACTGAGCTATCCTAGGTGCTGAATCCCACCCACAAAATAAGATTCGATACTTTGGAGAGTTCCTGCAAGACTAAAACTGGAATGGTTCCATTAAGGCAGTGGTTCTCAACCTGGGGGTCAGGACCCCTGGGGGGGTCGTGAGGGGGTTTCAGAGGGGTCACCAAAGACCATCAGAAAACACACATTTTTATGTTATTTATTATTTATTTATTGATTTTCAACACACATTAAGAATAAAAAAAAACATATAGACAAAAGTAAACAATAATAACCAATAATAGACATTTACAGAAACCGATACACCCAGAAAAGAAAAAAAACACCACAAAACACCGACCTACACCGTGACCTCCATTCTTCTTACTTTACCCATTGTCCATGTTTACTTTCTTTCTCTCCTTTTCCATTTCCATATCATATCTTCCCTTTATGTTTGGAGAGAAAGTGTAAGTTGTATTCTGTCTATCTCTCTTATTTCATTTAACTTAACCAATCTTTTCTTTCTATATATTCCTGTAATTCCATCCAATCTGTTGGGTTTACAGCTCGTCCATTATGTTGCCTTAACCAATATGTAAGCTCATCCATATTTTTAATGTCTATTATTTTTCCAATCCAGTCCCCTTTTGTAGGTATTTCCTCCTGTTTCCATACTTTAGCGTACACCATTCTTGCGGCTGTAGAAAAGAAAGTAAAAAGTTTTTCCTTATTTTTGTCTTTGAAGATATCTACGTCCCACATTCCCAGTAGATATATCTCTGGCTTTAGTGGGATCTCTAATTTTTTTAAAAATTTACATTCTAAGTGTATCATTTTCCAATATTTCTTTACCTTATCACATGACCACCACATGTGGTAGAAGGATCCCTCATGCACTTTACATTTCCAGCAATTCTTATTCACTTGTTTATACATTCTTCCCAATTTTTGTGGTGTCATATACCACCTATGCATCATTTTAACCAGTTCTCCTGTAAATCTGATGCATATGTGTATTTTGACCTTTTACTCCATATTACTTCCCACTCTCTTAACATAATTGCTCTTCCAATATTCTTAGCCCATTGAATCATTGTGTCTTTTATTACGTCTCTCTCTGTCGCCCAGATTGTTAACTTATTATATATTTTCGTAATTGTCTTTTTCTCACTCATTTGAATTTTCCCCCAGAAATCATCTTTGTCTCCAAAACCCTCTTTCTTATCTACATTGTATACTTCTTTAATTTGTGCATATTGGAACCATGACACATTTTTGAAATTAATTGCAATTTCTTCTTGTTTCTTCAGTACATATATGTCCCTTTTTGTCCATCATATCTCCATATTTCGGCCAAACAGTCCACCCCAATAAACGTCTTTGGTTCGCTTCTAAGGGCGATACCAGAAAACACATATTTCTGATGGTCTTAGGAATCCTTTTGGCAGAGAACGCTGAAGATCTCTCCGCCTGTCCTCATCCTTGTTGGTGTTGGTGAATGACAACTCCCAGAATTTAAAAACAGCCCCCCGCCCCCAACCCCACCAGTTGGCCATGTCGGTAGTGTGCCAAGTTTGGTGCAGATCCATTTTAGGCTCGGTTCAGCATGCTATTTGATTATAGGTTAACTATAAATCCCAGCAATTACAACTCCCAAATGTCAAGGTCTATTTTCCTCAAACTCCACCAGTGTTCACATTTGGGCATATTGAGTATTCATGCCAAGTTTGGTCCAGATCTATCATTGTTTGAGTCTGCAGTGCTCTCTGGATGTAGGTGAACTACAACTCCCAAACTCAAGGTCAATGCCCAACAAAGCCTTCCAGTGGACAATTTCAACAGAAAGGAAGAAACCATGAAAATGAACAAAATCTGGCTACCAGTATTAAAGGACTCAAAAATCACAACAGCAAAACAACAGAGGGGAAACAAACAGGCACATAAAATCACTCTCAACAAGGGATTCCCCCCGGGCACTTCCAAGCCATTGAATGCTAATCAAGGTGATCAGCTGAAACATTCACACCTAGCCCCAGCAGACAAGAGTCCTTTGTCTCACCCTGGTCATTCCACAGATATATAACCCATTTTTCCTACTTCCAACAGACCTCACTACCTCTGAGGATGCTTGCCATAGATGCAGGCAAAACGTCAGGAGAAAAATTGCCTCCAGAACATGGCCATATAGCCCGGAAAAACCTACAACAACCCAAAGCCTTCCAGTACTTTCTCTTGGTCTTGGGAGTTCTGTGTGCCAAATTTGGCTTGATTCTTTTGTTGGTGGAGTTCAGAATGCTCTTTGATTATAGGTTAACTATAAATCCCAGCAACTACAACTCCCAAATGACAAAATGAATCCCCCCCCCCCCCCACCAGTTTTCAAATTTGGGCATATTGGCTATTTGTGTCAAATTTGGTCCAGTGAATGAGAATACATCCTGCATATCAGATATTTACATTACGATTCATAACAGGAGCAAAATTACAGTTACGAAGTACCAATGGAAATAATGTTATGGTTGGGGGTCACCAACACATGAGGAACTGCATTAAGGGGTCACGGCATTGGGAAGGTTGAGAACCACTGCAGTAAGGCATCAAGATAACCTCCACCACAGCTAACTCAATGGAGATTTAGTTGGTCAGAGGTCAAGGATCCATTGTGTGACCTTTTGTATACCTGTGTCAGCATTTATGTCAAATGTTAAACTCTGGGATTATGTCCTGTGTGTTGGTGTAATGTAAATCAGGCGTAATTCATGCTCTATCAGTCCACACACTGTCTTGACAGAGAAAGAAAATGTGCCACGCAGATGATCAATAAAGAACAAGTAGTTTGCTCTTCGTAAAGCAGAACAACATATTTACAATCATGAGGTCAGTTGCATTGACTCACACAATGTCCTTTTAGAGAGAGATAAATGGTCTTTTGGTTTCCATGCGGAGAATCTCCTTCCAGCAGCTCATGAAACAGTTCGTTTCTCTCTCTGCAAGCACTTGCAGAGCTCAAGCCTGACTATGAAACTGTTGCTGAAATTCCCAGGCTCAGCTAGCTCCTTGGATGTGGCCCAACCAATCAGCTTCTTGCCTTGCATTTTACAGTTAACACACACACTAACTGATTTCTCACATGCTCTAACACCCTCTCGAGACCTGATATGTGGCACTGCATACAGTCCAGGGGGTGCGGTAGCACAGCGGGGTAAACCGCTAGCTGCTGGAAATCTGCTAACTGGAAGGTTGGCAGTTCGAAACCAGTGAGCTCTCAACTGTCAGATAGAAGATAGAAGGGGCAGTTCTGATCTCCAGTGGAAGGGAGTTCCAGAGTCAAGAGGCCGCCACCGAGAAGGCCCTGTCTCTCGTCCCCACCAGCCGCGCCTGTGAGGCCGGTGGGATCGAGAGCAGGGCCCCTCCAGACGATCTTAGCAATCTTGATGGTTCAAAGGGGAGGATACATTCGGACAGGTAAATTGGGCCGGAGTCGTTTAGGGCTTTATAGGTTAACACCAGCACTTTGAATTCTGCTCGGAAGCTGACTGGCAGCCAGTGGAGCTGGCGCAACAGAGGAGTAGTATGCTCCCTGTACCCCGCTCCCGTTAGTAGTCTGGCTGCCGCACGTTGGACTAATTGAAGCTTCCAGGCAGTCTTCAGAGGCCACCCCACGTAGATAGCGTTGCAGTAATCTAAACGGGATGTAACCAAAGCGTGGACCACCGTGGCCAAGTCAGACTTCCTAAGGGATATAAAAGATATAAAAGCAATCCAAGACAGCATTTATTCAGACAGGAATCAACAGGATGCAAAGACAATCCAAAAGGCTAAAAAACTCCACAAGAACCAGACCCCTTGAATAGGATTTCCATGGCACATGAACTTGATTTCCAAATGATGCCTGATCTAACAGGTTTTCCCTTGAGGCGAACCTTATATCCCAAAACTCATAAATTGGTTTAATTTCCCCCCACATTTACCCCTTATCAGGTGAAGCCTTTCAGAGCAACATAAACACTGAGTTTGCTGTCAATCTCCAGCTGCCTATTCTTCAGCTCCCTATCTGGCTGCTCATTAAAATTCCCAGGTGACAGATTGTTTTCCAAACCCAAATCTTGAGAGCTCACAGAGAGAGCAAGTGAACCATCATTGCTAGGCCCAGCAGGGATATTCTCATGAGAAACTGCCCTTTGCACTGGGGACTCTCTGTCACTGTCTGTCTGAAAATCATTGACCAAACCATCTCCATCTTGCACCTCAGCCTCGGCACCATCATTTCTCTCATCATTTCCCACTTCAGGATCCTGAAACACAAACACAGGCTGATTCCCAACACCTTGCTCCTGCCAACCTAGCAGTTTGAAAGCATAAATAGTGAATAGATCCAAAGGTACTGCCTCAGTGGGAAGGCAAACGGGCGCCCCATGCAGATATGCAGACATGCTGGCAACCCAATTGGAGATGTCCATGGACAACAGGTTCCTCAGCATGGAACAAGAGCACCTCCCCATGGCCAGAGTTGAGCATCACCTCCAGATGCTGGAGATGGAAAAAAGGGGGAAATGCCTTTACCTTTGTCTGTGTTGTATATCGTTGTTCACTGTGTATGTAAAAAGGCATTGAATACTTGCCTCATATGTGTATTGAAATCCACTCTGAGTTCCTCCAGGGAGATAAAGTGGGATATAAATAAAGTATTATTATTATTATTATTATTATTATTATTATTATTATTATTATTATTATTTGCAACACAACAAGAAAGATCACTCTGCTGGCTGTTGTCTTGGATCACACGTCAGACACTTCCCAAGTGTCTAGGACTGTGTGATGCATCGGTGAATAATGCATTCAGCTCCGAGTAGGGTGGCCTTTTGCAGC